AAGATGGGGATGCTTGCCTTGAAGGAAGGTGATTCTAGCACTAAGTCTGAAATATGGGGCTTGGTATTAGGTGAAAGTACTCAGTAACTGTTACTAATTTAAGTTGTTAATTACATGTAGTTTTCTAAATGGGGATTAGGCAAAGTCAGGTTGCTGGGAGGATTATTATACTATACTATACAAACAAACATTTTAAGTGCACTATCTGTGTGCTTTATCTGCTTTACAGGCATCCTCTCAATTACTGCTCATAAGGATCCTAGAAAGCAGGGCTATAATCATCACCATTTTAATGGGGTGCCAAGTGACCTGCCTGAGTCCCAGGGCCAGTATGAGACTCTGGGAAGTCACACTCAAGGCCATGATTGGAGCTCACATTTTTCACACTGCTGAAGTGCCTCCCTGTGGGTGACACAAGGTGCTTTAGTACCCACCCTGCAGCAGTCACTTACAAGCTGGTCTTGGTCCTATCACTGCTTCCCACCTCCCCTTTCATTCCCACCACTGAATGCCCTGCTCCCAAGGCCTCTCCTCTCCATCCTAATGGACTCCACTGCCCTCCATCCTAAGCACTTGCTCAGCACAGCCCTGTGCTCCCCACAAGGGTCCTGGCTTCTCATCATTGCTGCCTTCTATACTATGGAGGAAAAACTGAACCGACACCAAGGCTACTTGTACTTCCTGCTGCACCTCCCCTCTTCGTGTCAGGGAGTTTTGTAGCGGTCATGTCTTCCACCTGGCATGGTCCTCACCCGTCATGGTAAGGATCCTAAACTTCCTTCAAAGGACCCGTCTAGTGTCCCTGCACTCTGCGCTTATTTTTCATGGTCCTGTTCATATCTTTCTTTTGCTGCTATCTTGTCTCACCCACCTTGAGGCTCCTTGAGGCAAGGCCTCTGTGGGTGCTGTGAACACACTGAACACACAGTGCTAAGTGCTGAGCTCCACTGAATTGCACTGAGGAGAAGCAGTGGCCTGCAGACACATGCGAAGCAGTTAGAGGAGCCCACAAAAGACACTGGCAGCTTCTGGCCAGTCTCCTCTGCCATGCAGGAAACACTGCCAGGGCCTGCACCAGTGTGAGTGATGCCCCTGGGCTGGAGCACTGTTGTCCACAGGCTTGGACACTTTGTCTGGAGCACTACTGGCTGCTGAGATCAAGGGGGAGGGGTGTGTGACTTCCATCTCTGGGGAAGAGTCAGTGACCAGGGTCCCACAGTGTCCAGCAGAAAAGGCCTTCACAGTGTGTGGCACTTTCAACAGCAATGTTGGAGAGTCCTCTGCAAATTGGGCTGATGGCTCACGAAGCAGGGAATGAGGGCTGGGTCTACACCTCTGGAACCAGAGCTGCTGCCACAGGGTCACGGCTACAGAACCCTGTGTTTTGCATGCTGGGGTGACCCTGAGTCCAGATCTTGAGACAAACAGTGTCTCAGACCAGTACAGGTACATTTTGAGCCTCCAATCTCATTGGGTCCTGTAAAGTCCTCATGCTCCTTTCTAACCGGAGTCCCTACATTCTCCCAGGCCACCCCTGCCTGGGCTGTGGTCCTGTGGTACCCAGGTCCCCCAACACATAACGCAGGTCCGCTTCCATTATTTCACTCATGCTTCTCTCCATTCCCCAACCCACAGATGGTCCTTTCTCTGTCCTTACATGGTTGCCACTCTTCAGTGCTTACTCCCAGCCAGCTCATCTCTGAGCTCCTTTCTCAGCAAAACTCACTTATGCTGTAAGAATGAATCTTTTGGTGTTGGATTGATAACATCTGCCTACAGACCTACTGTGACCAAATCGGTTCCTGGCCCCACAACCTAACTGCCGTGTGACTGAACAAAATGTCATTTCTCTGCACTCCTAGGTCTTAATATAAAACATGGGTGTAATAACACTACTACCTGCTTCACAGAGTGCTGGAGTGTAACATGAATTAACACTGCGTACACAATTACAGCTCTCGGACCAATGCCTGACACAGAGAAAACTTACATGCTTTTGCTGTGATGATGATTATTATTAGGAATCTACCATATAGTTGAGCACGATGGCACATACCTGTAATCCCAGCACTCTGGGAGGCTGAAGCAAGAGGATCACAAGTTCATGCCCAAACTGGGCAATTTAGTTACTTAGGAAGACTCTATCTCAAACTAAAAAATAAGTAATAATAAAAAATAAATAAAAGGGTTGAGGGTTAGCTCAGTGCAAAGGCTCTGCATTTAATCCCTAGTGCCAGAAAAACAAAACAAAACAAAAAACCCTTCCATGTGCCGGATACTCTGGGGCACTAGGAATACACAAATGACAAGTCCAAGAAATCGGCAACTGCAAGGAAGCGTGACTAATGGGGAAGGTATGACCACACACAGCAGAGCCCAGTTACTCAACCAGCCTGCAGGAAGGGCCGGCAGGGGGGCTTCTAAGAGGCTGTGACATGAGAAAGCAGAGCCAGTGCCCAAAAAATATGCAGAATTGGGGTACAAAGACCTAGTAGTGTGAGGTGGCCCTTGCCAGTCCTGGGATGGGGCAGCTGCTTGCAGGGTATGGGGTGTGGGGAGTATGCAGACAGACAACTAGTGAGAGACCCACCACCGCGGCCACCGCCACCACCGAAGAGAGCAGCAGGGAAGCCACAGGAAGGCAGTTTTAGGGGAGTGAGTTGCACTCTGGACGGATTGCTGAGGTGGGCTGTGATGTGCAGGCTGCAGCAGAGACTGAGAGCCAAGCCAGGTCTCTGCAGCCTTGGGGCAGCCTGGCATCTAGCCAAGCATGGTTTGCCAGGGCCACAGTTCCTGGTCCCAGTGGGATAGCTGCCCACAGTACTTAGATGACAGTCCACCCCACCCTATAGGTCCACCCTCGGTCTCTGCTGCTGTACTTCCAGCCCACCAACCAGCATCTGGCTGTCCCTGCTCATCTCTTCTCAACCCAGCAACAGGCTTGCTCTTGCACAGCCTCAGTCCCAGCCCCGGCTCACCCTGGGCAGCCAAGCCCATCCCTTCCCCCTTGGCCTTTCCACCCCTCCCATTGTCAGCCACCCAGCTGCTCCGCTCGGACTTGCCTGGATCATCTTCCCATCAGTGACTCATGTATTAGGCGGGGGTGAGGCTGGAGCTGCCAGAGCTGAAGGAAGAGTTGGTGGCAACAGCCCCTCCCTGGCCTCTCAGCACCCAACTGAGCAAAGTTTTTCCATCTCCTACGTGTCTGCTGGCAGTGTTAGGCCTGTTTGTGCCCCCAAAGGGGACCTGACCCCACTCTGTGGTCCAGCCAAGCATCTAAGGGTGAGAATCTTTGCTCCTTCTTCGAAATTCAGAGTCATGTAACTCAGAGCACTGAGGACACCCTTGAATCCAGGAAACCGGGTGCCCTCTTCTCCATGGGGGGGCAGAGAGTCTTAAAAGGGTCACCATCTTTGGGGAAAAAACCCTATATAAAAGCCGCTGGGTTAAGTGACCAGTAGTAGCTCCCACCCCAGCCCACTCCTATGGTACATAGGAAGCCTTCAGCATCCCAGGGTCTGTGAGCATCTCACAGCAGTGCACTTCAGAAAGCCTGTGACTCTCTTAGTGAGGGGAGAAACCAAAGCACACTTGGCATCTTTTTTTTTTTTTTGAGACAGAGTCTAGGTATGCAGTCTAGGTTGACCTTGAACTCTATGTAGCCAAGGGTAGCTTGAAACTAGTGGTGATCCTCCTGCCTCGGTCTCCAGAATGCTGAGATTACAGGAGTCACCATGTCCAGCTCCAAAGCACACCTGGAAGCAATAGGGTTGCATGTTTCAAAAAAAATACAGAGTGCCAGAAACCATAGCTGGCCTCCCGTCCACCTGCCCCTCCCCCATTGACCTTTGCAGTCAAGCTCCAGGAATGATCCCTCCCACTGCATGGAGGCCAACACAGTGCTGCACAGAGGAAGTGTTGCCCAACTCTCCCTTGGATCCTTTTTTTTGTACAGGAATCGAACTCATGTGCCAGGTAGATGCTGTGCCTGACAAGCTATATGCCTGGCCATTCCCTTGGGTCCTCATAGGCAGGTCCATTAGCACCAGCTGGCAATGCTCCATCTCCACAGTAGGCTCTGAGCTTCCCGGGCCAGGGACTGGAAGCCTATTTTTGTCTCCACATCTCCAGAATGGAACACATTGCTCGGACCTCTAGTGGGTTTGACTGAAAGAGCAAGGGTTTACGGAAGGACGAAGTTAATCCTTTCCCATTAACACAGCTTGAACCAAGGCAGAGGTAGCAACCATCCTACCCTCACCTCGTAAGTACTACCATTCTTCCCATCTTTATCCTAAAACCCACGACAGACATCACAAATGGATCACAGCACCCTGGCTGAGCCCAGATCTTTCTCGGCACTGATTCAGGTCGATAGGTAAGGTGATGCTTATTTGCCATGATGGGATTCAGCTATTTATGTCGTGGTGTTCAGCCTAACAGGATCACAAATAGGATGTTTATAAAAGTTTCTTTGTAGTTTGTAAATTTTCATGCAGTCATGAAAAAAAAGTGTGTTACTTCTAAGAACCAAGGGACTGAGACAGGGGACAGGAAAGTTTTGATTGGAAGACAAGAGAAAAATAGGCTGGGTGCACAAAGAGGTGATTAAAGAGTCTTCAAATTGTCAGAGGGGGCTCTTCAGCTTTGCTTTTTCCAGAGACTGGAGGAGGCTGCTGCTCTGCAACATGAAAGGTCAGGAAGCCAGGAGAATGGCTGGCTTTGAGGCTCAACAGCTACTATATAATTCAGGGCAGTGGCCCTCAAGTAGAAATTACTTCTTTTAAACCATTCAGTAAGACACAATGTATAAATGGATAAGTCTAAACAGTAGGGGTAAGTCCTGCCCAGAAATCTGAGCCACCTCCCAAGATAGCAGGGAAAAGGAGTCTCTTCCTACCCAGGCTAGAGGTTTCAGGATGGGCTGTGCAAGGTGGAGGTAGGGAGACATGCTCCAAGCCCTGGTTCTTATGGGTTAAGAATTCACTCGGCAGACAGTGTGGTTACTACCCTTTGCAGGGCATCTTCATTCTGGAATAGGCATGAAATGGTAATGGCCAAACCTTACCCACACCCCCTCCAGGCCCAGCACCACAAGAGGGAACATGGGTAGAGGTGGGGAAAGAAGTGTGCAAAGAGAGGACCTGGATGGTGGGGGTCTCAAAAGGACCTAAGCAGCAGGAGACCCCCAGGTGTGAGTCTCAGGCCCAGCAGCTCCCTCTCCTCAAGATGAGTCCGAGGCTGTCCCAAGGTGGTGCATCTTCTGGATACCAAGCTGGCCTCTTGAGTCCTGAGCTGTTGGCTTAGCATCCCATGGGAGTGTACCCTCTTCCAGCCATAGAGCAAGGCCAGGGGCCAACAGCAGTCTGCAGAACTGATGGAAGGGCCACAGCTGGCAGAGAATTTGATGCCAGCTCACATCACAATACCGGGGGCCAGGCCTATGGTGAGAAGGCTGAGCTGATTATGTCCTGACAGTCTGTTTAGGAGCTGAATCTTCATCTTCAGCGCCTCACAGCTTTCTACTCTCCTTCCTTGGTCTGTCATTCCTTCAGCTCTGATGCCTCCTCCATATCCACGGCTTCTGCCTCAGACACGTGGAGCACAGTTATGACCCCCACCAGTGAAGGGATGCAAGGCAGCTGGTGAGAAAAACTGCAGTTAGTACAGTGTGTCCCAGTGTTGGGCGCCTTCCTATCCATCTCTCATCAGGACAAACAGAAAGGAACACAGCCATTCCTCATTACCCACTGAGGATTGCACCTACATGTTCAATATTTCATACAAAATGACACACTTTACCTAACACCTATGCACATGTCCAGGATACTTCAAGTCATTTCTTCTTATACTTCATACAATGCAAATTTATATAAATAGATGTTATACTGGATCCATGAACAAATACTGACAAAGGAAGCCCACACATGCTCAATATAACCTAGTTTGTTTTCCAATTATTTTCCATCAAGTATTGGTTGAATCCATAGACATGGAACCTGCAGACACAGGAGTGTGATCATATAACACACTGTGGCCAGTGGCATCTGCCTTCTCTCAGAGCTACCTATATCCCAGGCCTGAGGGAGCCATGCAGATTCATTCTCAGCACAGCAGGTCTGCTTTGTACCTGGCCTTTCTGCCAACACTCACTGCACCATGAGAGGGAGGTGACAATCAATCAGAGGGGCCATGGCACTGAGGGCCCCAGGCTCACTGGGACTCTACTGCTGAGGCAGCACATGAGGTAGATTAGGAGGGTACATAGGTTTCCACCAGCAAAGTTAGCCCGAGAGTGGCATAAACCCTTCCTCAACCCCGCTCCTAGTTCCCATGGGGAGGGAGTGCTATCTGGGGAAGAGGGCATGGGGCTGTGTGCCAGGGCTTCTAGGTTCTATTCCTGTTTGCTTCCCTGAGCCTGACCACTAATTCTCCCCCACCCCCGCCCGACTGCTCAAGGATTAAGACATCACAGATAACTCATGATCCTGCACCCACCCACAAACCCTGCTCCAGTGCCCCATCTCCCCCTCCCTCCAGCTTCTCCTCCTCTGGCCCATGTGGGTACTCACAGGACGGCAGACAGGCCCATCCTCCAGAATCAGTACCCCAGCTCAACCTGCCTCACTGCTCCTTCAGCTCTCTTGTACTCCCAACAGCTTGGTTTTAGAGCCCCAAATTCACTGTCCACAATGGACAACAGGAGTCCTCAGACCAGACCAACCAGCCCGCTGAGGAGCTTTGCTAACTAAAAGATCCTGTCTTTGTACATCAATTCAACGTTCACACTCTGTGACCAGCATTCCTCCTAGTAGGAGGTGGGTCTCCATCCTTCATCCCACCCCTCTTTCTCCTGCATAGTCCAGGAGTCCTGCCCTACCTTGAGGCCCAGTGGCCTGAGGCAGGGTCCCTATAGCTGATCAGGGTTCAACCAACTGTTGAGCAGGCTTGGCCTGGCTCCCCAACCCAGGGCTCCCATCTTCCTCTCAAGACACCTGAATCACAGTCAGACCCTCCTATTTGGAGCCAGAAGGAAAAAGCCAACCCTGCTCATTTTGGCCACCATCGCAGTCCTTCTATACGCAGTCTCCTGAGCGCCTATTCTCTCTTGGCCTCAGGAACCCTCCCAAGGTCTGCTTGGCTTTGAAGCTCAATGCTAGTCCCTGATTCCCTCGGTATAGGACAGAGAAGGGAAAGGAGAAAAAGAGGGCTCAGTCTGGACAGGGGCTCACCTGGCATGAACTCTGGATACCATAGAGGCAGGGGGCATGATAGTAAGATGGCAGCCTGTGGTTTTAGGACACGAGGGTTCCAGTCCCGAGGCTCTGCCGAGCTCTCACTGTCTGGATGGCCTGCTGGTTCTTGAACTTGACCAGCCCCAGGGTGATCTGGGCGTTCCAGCCCGGGTCTTCGAGGGGGCAGCGGAAGTCGATCTCACCACCGCCCTCGGTCACCAGCGTGAAGTAGATGTGGCGCCCTGTGCTCTCCACGCACTCCACGGCTTTGATGCGGGCGAAGCTGAGCTCCTTGGGCCGGCCGCCCGTGCCCTTGGCCTCGAAGAGCTGCAGCCCGCGCTCGGTGAGCACGCAGCGTTTGCGCTTCCACAGCTGCAGCAGCCCTCCGCTGCGCTTCTCCAGCACGCCCTCTTTGAGCACGGTCGCCGCCGCCGTCATGGGCAAACCGAGGTCCCGAGCAAGCGACGAGGCTGCAGCTGATGTGGCGCCTCTTCCGGGTGTGCGGCGCCGGCCAGCGCCCAGGCCCGAATGGCCGCGCGCCTTGCCCACCTGCGCCCGACTGTCCGGTGCGCCCGCCTGCGCGGACACAGCTGCCTGGGCAGAGCGTGCCGGTGCCCCTCGAGCGCCCTACGCCCGCCCGCCGCTTAGACCACCGCGCTCCTCCGCCTCGCTAGAGCCGCCTCGTGCGCCTCTTCCAGTACCCCGCGCTTGCCGGCCCGCACGCCCGCCCGCAGCCCTCCTGAACTCCGTCTGCGCGCTGGGCTGCAGCTCGCGGGATGTGCCCTTACATGTTCCACCGCTCACCGCCTGCGCCGCCGCGCATTCCTGCGCCGCCGCTCCCCGTCTCCTCCCCGCCCCTCCGCACAGAGCACCCGCCCCTTGAGAGCCCTCGGGGGCGGGGCGCTGCGGGGCTTCACCACCCCTGGCCAGAGCCGGCTGCAGCGCTGGGACGCAGTGCAGCTGGGGGTGGGGTGCGTGTTACCTAACAGACCGAGCCACCGGCCAGCGGTCTGCTGCTGGTTGGAACAAAAGCCCCCCAATTCTACCCCGCGGCCTTAGAGGGAGGAGAGGATGGGGGCGGAGGGAGGAGCATCTTTAAATTGGAGATAGTGGGCAGTGTCACTGGTTGCGGTTACATGGTGGGCTTCGGCCAGCTACAGGCACCTTCCAGGCTACAGGAGACCTGCTCCCCATCTCCATCCTCTGCCTCATACCCATGTTGAGTTCCTCCCTCGCTTATTTGTGCAGGGCCAAGAAATGCTGTCCCCAAATATCCCCAATTGAGACAATCCATCCCCTCTTTTATCCCTAGACTTTTACCCTGCTACAGAAGAACAGTGGAAAGAAAAGCACATTAGGGTCCCTCGTGGCCTCTCTCTCTCTTTAGTGCCCCCCCCCACCCCCCGTGACCAGGGGCTGTCACTATCTAAGTCCCCTTCCTGGCACACACTTACAGATGGCTGAGTGCATCCCCAGGCCCAGAGGTGCCCTTGTCTGCAGCCAGGTCCAGCTCCAGCTGCAGCTTTCTCTCCTTCCCTTCACTCCAACAGGACAGGCTTCTCCCCCATGAGGAGCTGAAAGCAGGACAGAAAGGAAAAGGTTGTTCTTTCCTGCCTAAAGAACGTTGTGTGGAGACTAGAGGAGAGGTTCCTCCTTGGTTGTATGTCCTGGCACCTCCTTCCACTTCCAAGTCTGTCAGAGGGGACAGTTCATTTCTTCTCATCCCATGGGGTTGTTGCAATGGATAAGTTTGGAACATCTGTGAAAGGGAGGCCTAGAGGAAAGGCTTGGCACTTGCAGAGATATCCCTCTCCTCTGGACAAGGGGCCTGAGATGAGGTCAGGCACTGGACCATGGCTGTCCTTAGTTCTCATCTGTCCCATCTTGGTCACCTCCTCTAGTCTAAGGTTTCCTAAAAGTCCATTTGTCAACAAGTTAATAATAGATTGTTCTGGGAATAATGATACTTGATAATGGCAGTCAGAAGACCTGTTTGTACCACACCCTGTTTCTACCCCTTGCCAATGAGCAGAAACTAACGGGCATGGGGAGGGTTCCATTGTGAATGAGGGGGTGCCTTTCCTGACAGCACAGCATCCAAGCCAAGCCAGGACCAGGCAAGGAAGACAGCCATAGCTTCGCCTAGCCACAGCGGGTACACACACACACACACACACACACCAGCTTAGACTGACTCACTGCTTCCAGGAGAGGGAAGGGACTGAGCTATAAGAGGAGCAACGAGACAAGTGTCACCCGAGGCCCAGAACACAGCACCCAAGCAGAGCTTGAATGACCACAGTCCTGCCTTAGGGAGCCCTGTCTGCCTTCTTGTGAGTCTTCCTTCCCTCATCCCTCAGTAGGCGGCTCCTGAGTACATGGTTGGGGGCACTCAGAAATCTCTCCTTAAGGAAATGGGCCATGGATCAGGCTTGCCCCCTAACTCTGCCCCATCTCTTTCTTTCTGCAAACTGGGCCGAGACTCATTCCTATTCTCTCCAGCTTCAAACTGACTCATGATGCAGACTTTCAAAGTTTACAGAGCCTTTGCACATCTTTTGGAGTCTCATGACAGGTAAGTATTATTAATACTATTATTGTGCTCGTTTTTTGACAAAAAAATAAGGCAGAGACATCACACAACTTTGTAAAGACTAAAACCAGGGTGAGAAGGTATGGTGAGTAACAGGATGCAGAATCCTTTGATGATCCCACCTGCCTTTACATAAGCATCTGAAAATCTTTAGACATGACCCAAATGTCCATGCTTTTCTCTTCAGTTGCTGGATGGAGGCTGTTAAGCTTTTGGACACAGGAGAAAGGGAAGAGATCAAGCAGGTGGAGAGCAGCTCAGTGGTGGAGTGCATGCCTAGCATGTGCAAGGGCCTGAGTTCAATTTCCCGCCAGGGAAGGATGGAAATGAGGGGTGGATAGTGAGCGGGCAAAGTGAGAAGGAAAGTTGGTAGGGTGACTCTACTGCTGGAAAGTTCTTTGCCCACCAGTCACTCAGTTCCTAACACCCACCTCTTCCTAGTAGCCTGAGTGTGTCCTTGGAACACGGAAGTCCAGTCCTCTAGTTTCATGACTTCCTGGGATAGGAGGTGATGATTCATTTTGTTACAATTGGCTTCTTGCCTGGGATCCCACTTGAACCCAGATTGGAGGCAGCTTTCAAGAGCTGGCAGTGGGGGACGTTGGCAGGTACCAGGGTAACCCTGCCCCTCCAAAGGAGCTAAAGCTCCCATTTAGTGTTCTCGGGGCACTTGGCTAGATAGTGCTGGGCGCTGGAGAATTCTACCCAATTCTTATTGACTTGACTCCATATCAGATAGATGGGTGGAATGTCCCCTGATTAGCTCCTCCCTCTGCCCAGCCCAAGGAGAAAGCTGATCTGCTTTGCCAGTCAATCCCAATCCAGCCAGAACCCGGTAGACTGTAAATGGTCCAAAGGAAGAGTGGGCTGGGAATGGCTCTATCTAGGTCTGTGCCACCCTATCCTGTGTAGAGAGGAAAGAGATCATGTGGAGGAGTGGGTCCCTTCGGGACCTCTGGTCTACCACCCTAGTCAAAGGGGAAAGAAAGATGCAGACAGAGAGACAAACGGGCCCCAGAGAGGGGCAAAATAATAAAGCTGTTTTCTATATCCTCTGACTAATATAAAATATGTTTAGGGGTAATAAATTGTTAGAAAAACTAAAGAAGAAGCATTGAAGATAACTTTACTAACAAAACAGGATTCTCTTAACACTAAAAAATTGAACTGAACTGGGCATGGTAGCACATGCCTGTGATCCCAGCATTTGGGAGGATGAGGCAAGAGGATCACTGCAAATTCAAAGCCAATCTGGGCTATATAGTGATTTCAAGGTCAGCCTGAAGTACATAGTGGGACCCCATCGAAAGAGAGAGAGAGAGAAAGACTGAGACTGAAGTTTAGCAAGACCGTGCCTCAAAATAATTACTACAAATAAATGGGCTAGGGAGCTAAGGGTGTATTTCAACGCAAAGGCTGTGAGTTCAGCCACCAGTACTACCAAAAACAAAAAATAAGTTTCACTCCTCTGCTCAAAATCTACCGGAGTCTCAGCCTCCTTTAAGTTAACTGTTAGTGATTCTGTCTTTGAGGTCCTCAGAGACAGGCCCTCTGAGACCTACCCAGTACTCTCGGACCCTGCCTCCACATCCTGAGCCCTGCCATATCCTCTCTACCAGTGTCCTGGTCAGGACCTGTGACCTGCTCTTCCATGGCACCCGCTGGTCTGCTTCTTTACCCCACGCAGCTCTTGGCCCAGGCAATCTCTTTGAGGTCTCCCCACACCCTGCTTCAAACCCCAACCCCTCTCCACAGCCAGAGGCATTTCCTCTTTGCATATGTTATCATCAGCAACTCTGTTTTCCATATTTACCACCTCTTTCCCACGCTGCACTGTAGGCTGGATGTCCTGGGGAGTTTTATCAGTTTTCTTGACCCATGTAGCTCCTGCACCTACAGCATTGCCCAACACTTAGGAGCACCTTTATAAATAATTTCTGAATGAGTGAATGAGATGGCAAGATACCTGACAAAATCAGGAAGTGGAACACAATGATGCAACCATTTCCTCTTCTTTTATTATGGAGAGTCAATAAATGCTATTGAGAGTCAATGAACTCATACAAAGAGGTCTAAGTATATTATTTTAAATGGTCATAGGAACCATACTTGGTTATAGGAGATGTTTAGGGTGGTGAGATTAGCCCCTACCACACTATAATGGCAGACATGACTTTAGGCATTTGTCAAAGCCCATAGAACTGAACAACGTGAAAAGAAAATAATATAAACTATAGACTTTAATTAATAATAAATTATTATTGCCAGGCATGGTGGCACATTCCTCACTTGGGAGGCTGAGTCAGGAGGATTGCTGTGAGTTTGAGGCCAACCTGAGCTACATAGTGAGTTCAGGGCCCTGTCTCAAAAAAACACCAGTATTGATATTATTAGCATTGGTTCATTAATTGTAGCAATATATCACACTAATATAAGATGTTAGGAATAGGAAAAAAGGAAAGAGAGAGGCCATGCCGGAATACTGTACTATCTGCTTTATTTGTAATACAGATGTAAGACTATTACAAAATTAAGTACATTAATTTTTTTTAAATTTTATTTAAGGAGAAAAAGAAAAAAAAACAGAAAAAGCGTACAAGTTATACAGAATTAAAAAAATAAACAGTAGGAAATCACTAGTTAATAGATTACATATTGTCATCTTAGAAATAGTTGTTCAAGTTATAAAATTAAAGCATATAAAGTGGACATTCAAACAGTGAGACTGCAAACAGTTCTGTTCAATGATCCAACAAAAACTCAGTAATATGGTTATCTATCTTATACACTTAAGTATACATGCAGTTATATCCTATAGAGTACTTTCTTTTCCTCTCTTTTTTACAATGACAATTACACATTTTGGGTTTATTACTAAGTACATTAATTAAAAAAACAAAAAGTTAGTAGATTATAGTAGTCCTTCTAGGGAAGGATGACAAAAGGAGGTAATTTTTCTTCCTCATTCTATACTGCTAAATGTTTAAAATATTATGCCTGCATTACTTCTGTTAAAAATATACTGAAGGCCAGGGGTGGTGGTACACACCTATAATCCTGACCACTCAAGAGGCTAAGGGAGGAGGCTCACAAATTCCAGGCAAGCTAGGAGAAACTTAGCAAGACATTGTGTCAAAATAAAAAAGGGCTAGGGATATAGCTGAGTGGTGAAGTGTCCCTTCACCACTGTCCAGTACCATGCACAGACACACACATTAGTCAAGTCTCCAGGCATGGCGGCATGCACCTGAAGTT